TTGTGATTCCCTGAGTTTAGTCTTAGCATTATTAATTTTTGTGAATTTTATTTGAGTTACAAATCGGATGTAACAACATAAAGAAATAAAATAGTATAGAAAAAAAATTTGAAATTTGAAATAAATAAAAATTGTGTTGAAATTGTATTGAAAAATTAAAACATACAGATTTTGTATAGTTTAGTATTTTATCTATGTATGAAAATTTAATATTACTAAAAGTAAGTAAATTAAATTAATTAATTTTTTACCAAATTGCAAATAATAACAAACTGAGCTTAAAAACCTTTCCTGGCATTAAAAGTAAACTTACAGAGTAGACAAAAAATACTATCTATAATAATAAATTTAAGTTAGAAAATAATCATACAAAACTATATTGATTAGTACATTTGATTTTCTAATTCAGATGTTGTAGGAAAAATATCGATTAGTACAGTTGATTTTTTTAATTCAGATGTTATAGAAAAATTGTGCTAAAAATTTGAACGTAAAGATACTAGGGTTATTTCATATTTTGGCATTCTGTATTGTCTGAAAATTGTAGTGTTTCTTTGGCACAAAAGCTACACAAAAACTGTATATAATTTTCTTCATAGGGATATAATAAATAAATTATTATGTATTTTAAATAAAAAATAATTAATGCAAAAATTTCATTACTTCTATAAATATAAAAATATAAATGAATATAGATTTCATTAATTATTGGTTTTTCGAAATTATTGAAATTGATGTCGATCATGTGACAGCGATCGATTTTTTTAAGTTAATCATGTTCGTTCAGCTTTACATAATAAAAACTTTAATTTTTAAATAAGCTACTACGAATTTTTTTTATACTTAAATAAATATATACTCTATTTATAATATATGTTATTTACAAGAAGTTTTATTAAAAAAACCAATATATATTCAACTTAAAACTTTGAAATCACAACTTTTTTTCAAATAATCACAGAAAATCACAAAAAAACACATGGAAAAAAAATAGGAATCACAGTTGAGTTACCATAGTAAAAATTGTTCTTTGAATCATGAAAAGTAACAATATAAGTGCATATTTGATGTGGAATGTAATATATTTGTATTATGATAGGTTTTCTTTAAAAAAAAATATTTGATTTATTGAAAATTTAGTGTTCCTACTGTTACAAGAGTAATGAAATATTTTCAAAGTGGAGATGTATTATAAACCCATTGAAAGACAGGCTGGTAGAAGAAAGATTTTAATGGATCTAATATGAAGGTAATATTTTTAATTTATTAATTATTATATATTATGTTGTATATGGTATTTATTATAACATAATTTTTTTTTTAAATTTTAAATGAAATAATAACAAGCATTCTGATTGCTATTTAGATGAGATTGTTAGAGAAATTATTAGGATAATTAACAAAGTCTATGTTCCTAAAAATAAAAATAAAAATATAATTAAATAATTATTTATAATCATGAAATGTTGCGTGAACTAATGTTACGTGAATATCATCATGAATGTTACGCGAACATCATCACAAAATGTCACTCGAAATGAAACCTTACAATTGATGCAGCCTGAGTACTCATTTGTTTGATAAATAGTTTCCCATTTTCCTGCACAGTTTTTACCCCTAATTATTAATTTAAATAAAATTTCCATGTATTCATCTTCAAATTCTTCAATTTCAGAATTATCCACTTCATCTTTAACATCCAATTCTATATCATCTTCTATTTCAATACTCAAAATTTTATCCTCCTCTTCATTATTAGTCAGATTTTTCTCAAATTCTATTTTATTAATTTCTTTTTCTTCATCTACTCTATCATCATCATAGTTCTCATCATCATCATATCATTTTCATCAACATCATTGTCATCATTATTATTTATTTCTCTAGAATTTTTAGCTGAAGAATTAGATCTAGTTAGCCTTGATGCTTAGTATGATTTGTAAGTTTTGGTAGATTTACTGGAATGGTCTTTGTTACTTGAGATTTTTTTAAGTTGATATATTTAAATTTTTGAGAAAAATCCATTCTATATAAATAAATTCTATTAGCTTCACTTAATTCTAACAATTGTAACTCATTATTTATTATTGTATTTCTTATTTTTTTTTTCAAATCACATTGACAGTATTTAAAAGATAATAGTTTATTATAATTTAAACATAATGCCTCAAAAAACATGTGCCAATTTGTTTTTTCTTAGGCATTGCATTATGACAAATATAATGAACGTGATACAAAAATTCTTGAAATTAATTTGTGTTATGAAGTGATCAGCTAATCATTTAATAACGTGATTTTTGTGTTTTGTGTTTTTTGTCGATCGTCACGCATAATTGCCAATTTCAATAATTTCGAAAACCCCAATAATATAAATAAACAATTATTTTCATATATCTTAGTTACTTCTTCACAAGCATTTAACGTTTATGTATCGTTTGCTTTGATTTCTAGTAATTTGTTTAAATCTACAAGTGATTCCTCATATTTTTTCATCATACAAAATTTCTCCTCGATATATTAATGCAAATATATTATTTACCTCATACTCTAGCAACTTTATCAAATCTAAAAGAGCTAGTTCTTATTTACTTATTACAAAATAATATATTCCTCAGTATTTTAGTATGTGTTCAGCATCTGTTGATTGTTTCAAATCTGCAAATTTATCAAACTGTTGACTTATTAATTTATCATTATATGAATTAAGAATTTCAGCCAGCCTTATTCTCCTTGAAAGATTCATCAATATCATCAGCATTATTCACTAAAAAAAAAATATTAATATTAATACAGAAATAAAGAAAAATAAGTATACCTGTATATTTAAACTTTCTATAGCCAAAGTTTGCTCCTACAGTTCCACCTGGTGACAAAATTGCAACACAAGAATACAAAGCATTTTTCAAATCTCGGAATGCAATACCTTAACGTTAAAATATAAAAATAGATTTTAAATCTCTATTATTTAACCTAAAATGACCAAGAATTTGTAATATACCTAGATTCACTCTGTTTCTTGTATAAAATACCGTATTATTTCTAAAGTTTAAACAACATCACATCAGATAGTATCACCGGTCAAAAAATTTGGTCCATATCCATATTCATTTGCAATATGGTTAAAATACATATTTCCATCATCACCATGATAACCCCATTAGCTATCTTCACAACCTACAATAGAAATAATTAAATAAATAATTTTATTTATAAAATAAGCTGATATAAAGAAGAGTAAATTACCTGGCATTTTATATTTGCTAGCTGATTTTGTGCAAAACCCGATTCCAATCTTCCTATGGAATTTGAAAAATTGACAACATATATATAACAGAAAAAACTGTATTACAAATTTTACAACATACCAATTTTCCCTTTATCTATAATGTCAGCTTCAAAGTAAAATAATCTACATTGGAAAATTTGCTCGAATTGCAGTAAAGTTTTTTTCTCCGTTATATTTGAAAATAATTGTAGTTATGCAAGAAAAAGTGATTCCATACAAAAACAGTAAAATTATAATTGTTGTACAACATGAAATGTAATAAACTCACTTATATAAGTTACTATAAGCTTGACTGAATTTATTTTTAAAAGATCATAATATACCATGCGGCCATATTGTTATGAACCTATTAACAAGAATGATTGCAGAGTTTGATTAGATTATTGAAGAATATTGTAGCTTGACTTGTATGCGTTTTACTTCTTATGTGAAAAGCTTTAAATACGTTGCGAGTTATTTTTTTATTTATTTTTTTTTTAAGGAAAAAATAAAAAAACTTTAGAACTTTCTCGATTCTCATTATTATTTATACATATGGGTAGTATTCTATTAAAATTGAGGTACGGATCATATGATTTACTATGTCTCGTAACCCACTTTTAATAGATCAGCTCCCATATGTCGATCAAATTGTTCATACATAATTTTGTGTTACATTCAATATAAAGATTTTTGCTCATTCTTTGAAATTGTTTCTAATATGGAGAATATAAATAAAAGTAAATCTTAAATTATGAGAATTAAAATTTTCAACTATTTGGTTTCAAAAGTCTTATTTTTATTAAAAAAAGTGATTTATATTTTTTAAAAATTTATTGCAACGCGTTTCTACAAATTTTTTCTATAAGATTTTTCTTACTTTTTTATTTTATTTAAAAAAAATTTTATTTTCCTGCAACTGGTTTATAGAAACCAAATCGCTTTACCAAATCCGCTCTGTGTGGTACTTTATAATATAAACATTGGATGTAATATCTTTTTTTTTTAACCTTTCAATTATCGTGCTTATCAATATGATGATGTAAGACGATCTTTTTTGCTATTTTTATTATCACAAATAAAGTTCAATTAAAGTTTTTTATATCGAATAGGTTACAAAAATATATTTCAATCTAGTAATAAATAAATACATTTTATTTTTTATATTTTTTATACATTTGTTAATAATTAGTAATTAAAAATACAATGTATATACAAAGGTTGTTAACCATGAATTAGAAATCAAAGCTTTCGATCATTGGTCTTCAGATACAGTTCAAGATGCATTGTTTACATCCTCAAGCTTTGAACTTGTTCTTAATTCATTTGAAAAATACCAAAGTGGGTAATGATTTCATCTGATAACAGTGCCCATTATCATTATGTTGAGTTAATGGCTATAATTGCTTCTTCTATATATTGACCTTCAGATATATTATATCCTAGCTTAACATATCGATCGTTTAATCGCATGAGAAATCTATAAATATAATACCATCTTTCTTATCAATCAATCAAATAGGACAAAATGTTGATGTTTAACTAAAACTGAGTCAACTTTTGATCGTCTAGGAGTTAATATATCAACTTTTAATACACGATTTGAAATCATATGAAATGCGAAAATATTCTTGACCAAATCTTTTGGTAGCAATTTTTTAAGAGGATACACCTTGTCTGTAAAACCTTCTGGCGTAAGATTATAAAATCTTATTAAGGGACTATATCTATTAATAGCCCTCTACGATATTAAATTCTTCCTTGCACCATTTTGCAAAGTCTTTGGAATAGGAGTATTTTGTGCTAGGCTCCATTTGATTAAGTTAAGCTATCCTATATAAGATTACAGGTGCTTTTAAATTAAACAATTTATCGGAATTAAATAATAATTCAAGTTCGCTAACAGATCATTATTTCAAAGTTTTGTGAATGGTTCATGTTGATAGATTGTTTCAAGAATTCCTAAAAGAACAACTTGTAGAAAAA